TAGGTCACAGCCAAGATACTCTGATCCAGCAGCCCTGAGGAGGAAGAGCACGATGATGGTTTCACCCCAAAGCAGCTCTGCTTACACACGGTATAAAGTGGGAGTGCCAACGACACACACACAATGCTATCAAACCCATGGGGCCTTGTTGTATGGGTTGCTGCCATCCAGAAAGTCTTTACGCACCAGGTCCAGCCCCACAATCCCAGCTCAAGGACAGGATGCCCATGTTGGTTGTGTCCTTGCTTTATCACATCCTACCCTGCCTGGGTGCAGCCCTGGGGAGCACCGTCCCCATTACAGTGCCCATGTGCTGCTGGCAGCCTGGCACACAGTGTTCCCTGGCTCAGGTCTGCCCTCCCTGTCTGCCTTTGAGCTGTTGTCATCCAAACCGCCCCGTGTTTCTGGGTCAGACAAGCCAAAACGGCCTCTGAAGAGCCCCCTCATCTGGGATGAGTCACTGGGAAGTGCCCAAAGGGTGGAAATCCCCCTCCTGTCCCAAACCTCGCCCTCCTGCCTGTGACACTGGGTTTGGCCACCAGCCCAGCTCCATCCATGGCTCTGAGAGACTGGCAAGTCCCTGGGATACCCCCAGTGCTGCCCAGCCACCCCCAAGTGGAGGCAGCACGGCCTGAAGCAGCCTTGAAAGACCCCACACTCACCCCCTTCCCTAGAACCAGCCCTTTTCCCCATCCCATTCTTTTACCCAGGCAGGGAAAAGGCAGCTGCAGGTAGCCCAGGCTGACAGCAAGAAGCCACGGGCTGCCCTGTCAATGGTCTTCAAAGGCTGGGGACTGAAATACAGACCTGGGACAGGGTGAGATGTGAACACAGGGAGATGGGGCGCAGAGGAGCATGGGGCTGGGTGCCCCAAGGATGCAATGCCCGGCACTCCTCCATCTCCCTGTGCCACGTTGCCTGCTCCTGCCTTATCTCCCGCGCTTTCCCTGGCTCCGGGCACACCGGCAGCAGCCGGGCCCCCTTCCAAACACAACACCCGTTAAGAAACCAGCTTTGAAAAGCAATTCACTGCTTTCACTGCCTATGCGGGGCTTTACTTTCCTGGGGAAGAGAGCTGCAAAACAAGGGGCAAAACCCGACCCCATGCGCTCCAACAACCGGGATGCAGATGGGAAAACGCACCAGGCTATTAGAGAGGACGGACCCCCCCACGCTCGCCTCTGAAGCCTTTCTCCCCCCGTCCCCATTCATCCCCGCGGGCTGGCTCCGGAGCAGGTCTGGGCACGCTGCGGGCGGAGGGGTCCCGGGGCCGGGGCTGCAGAGGGAGCTGTGCCCGTTCCGGAGCTGCTCCTCGGCGTCTCTCCGCAGGCGCGCCCGTGGCGGCCCTCGCACGGCGGCGGAGCCGGTCCAGCCCGTCAGGCAGAGCAAGGGAGGGCCCCTGGAGCGCGGCCTCAGAACTGGGCTTCAAGGGACACGCTCGGCATCAGGCGCAGAGCCTGGTCCTGCAGTGCGCAGGGCAGGGCTGGAGCAGCGGGCAGGGTGCCCGGGCATCACCAGCAGGGAAAGCCACCGGGGGTAACAGAGCCCGAAACGATGAGGATCCTGCCCGAGGGGTTTGCCCGCAGGAAAACCATGCAGAGTAGCTGCAGCACCCCAGGCTTGGGACAAACCTCACTGAGGAGCAGCAGCGAGGACAGTCCACCCCAGTGACAAGGGACGGCATGGCCAAAGAAGTGATAGATGCTCCATCACTGGCAGTGCTCAAGGCCAGGTTGGACAGAGCCTTGGGTGACATGGTTTAGTGTGAGGTGTCCCTGCCCATGGCAGGCAGTTGGAACTGGATGATCTTAAGGTCCTTTCCTTAAGGAACCCTAACTAGTCTATGGTTCTATGCTGGTCTTGCAGGTTGGCACAAAACCGTATCTAACATCATTGCAAAATAACCTCCAAACTGCAAAAAGGAGCAACTTCTCCCCCAAACAGAGGCTGCTGCTGCTCAGAGAAGGAAAAAGCCCATCAGGACACAAAGGGTGTTTCTACAGAAGACAGGGACACAGAACGCCGGTGGCAAAGGATAACAAATCACAGGAGAGATATTAAACCTCACGCTTCAGGGCTTAAGCTGATACAGCTACTAGGGATTAGGAGGAAATTTAAGGGGGGGACTGAGTTATCCCACATCTGCCTGCTGAGGTCCTATTGCATATGGAGCAGCAGCATCCCTCTCCTACCCAGCCAGACAGGGGATAGCATTGGAGGGCCAGCACTGCTCTTGGGAAAACCCTGGAGTGCCCTGTGCTGCCCAGATGCAGCAATGAGAGGCACCAACCCATGCGTAGGGATACAACCAAGACACCCTGCAACCTTCACTAGTGTTTAACACCTTGCTAGGTCACAGCCCAGACACAGCCAAGTCCCAGGCACCCACTCCTGCCCTTCATCCATCCAAGGCCTGGAAAACCCCATCAGAGCTAATGGAAGGGGGCAAGTGGCTGCCCAAAGGTGGCCGAACCTCCCCGAGGCAGCAGCTGAGCCCTGGCAGGGCTTCGCTCCCTGTCCTTGAGAGTTTCACACCAGTTTGCTCAGCTGCTGCCCTTTCTTTGCACTTTGTGCATGTTTAAACAAAACCCTTCACCACTCCCTCGAGGAAGGCAAACAGCGAGGCCGGCTCCTCGGGTCCTCCAGCTCCTGCCTATCGCAGCATCCCCTCATCCCCTGCCCCTTAGCTGTGCGCATCCAGGGATGCAGACACTCAAACCTCACTGGGTGCTGTCCCACTCTAGAAGCCATCATCCCTTCCCAGGGATGGGAGCTCGGTCTTGGTGTGGGGGGGGGTGTCTTTCCATTCACATCCCCTGGGAGCCCCAGCCCCACGGTGCAGCAGCAGCAGCCCTGGCCCAGCCAACGGGTGCATTGTTGGTGAGTGCAGCCAGCCCAGGCTGTGATTGATGGCCAGGGAGAAAGGCCAAAGCCGTGACGGGTTGGTTAACAATTTCAATTAAACTCTCCAGCACTCCGAGGCGGAGGGGAGGGGAGAGAGAAGGAAATGAACAAGCAGAACCTTTGCTATTGCTGCTCCTTCAGCAAAGGGTGGCAGGAGCAGCCCAGCTCTCCTGGAGGAGACCCCCTTGGTGGCTGCAGACTGACCCCAGCATCATCCGGACATGCCCTCCCTGCAGGCAGGATACCTGCCTCGCTCCTGCCCCCAAAACCTTCTCCCTGTCTGGTAATAATAGGTGCTGTGACCCACTTGCACGGGAGGAGGGCTCTGCGCTGTGAATGTTAAACAACACGTCCCTGAAATTCCCGCTGCCGGGACTGGCGCTTGGTTTCTGCTTACGCGCCCTGACTTTTTTAGGCACAGGAAGCCCCAGAGGGCTGATCACAGCACCCGAGCTCCCGATGCACTGAGACAGCAGAAGGACTCTTAGAGGGATCTGAAACAACGATAAAAGTCAGCATCAAGGCCTCTTCTATGGACAAGGCTTTAACGAACGGCAAATGCTTCGCTCACATGAGAGGAAACTGGAAGGGATGGGGAGCAGCGGTACCCTCCATGCTGGGGATGAGCCCCTGGAAGCAGGCAAGTCCCCCACAACAGGTCCAGCATGGGAGCCCTATCAAACAGCATCCTCACAGGGGTCTGGGCTTGCTGCATCCCCCTCCTTATGAAGGGATAGAGTGAAAATAAGCAGAGGGAGCTGCTGACGCCGCTGCAGCGGGGGAGTGAAGTGCACGTTCACGTGGGTGCCCCAAGGCTGCAGGGAGGGGAAGGCACCAGAGAGAAAGCACACAGACAGGGTTTGACTGGGAGGGAGCTCCTGGAGGGGACTGGAGGAAACCAGTGTAACATCACCCCTCTGGGTGTGCAGGATTGCCACGGGCACCCCAGCCCGCTGGCCATGGGACGGCAGCTTGGGGCTGCATCAGCTGGTGGGATGCGCAGAGCCTGATGTTATTTATTGCCTTAGGGATGTCTTTCAACCCAGTGGCACAGGGAAACGTTTCCCTCCAGCTCAGGGACCCCTGAGCAAGCAGAGACAATGGCACCCCATCCCTTTCCCTGGGGAGAGGACACCAGCCACCCCTGTTGTGGGAGGAGGTGGCCCTCAGCCCCCCTGCAACGCTGGGAGTTGGGACGTGCAAAGCTCTGGCCCAAATCAAAGCTTTCCAGTGCCGACCCAGAGGACTTGATCCCTTCTCACGTTCATAATCCTCAGCATAACTCTTGTTCCTCACCACCAGCCTCTCCGCCCTGAGCCACTCCTAAGAAGCCTTAAGGCTTCCCCTCCTGGATGTGCTCCCCCTTTCCCTCCCCAAGGACAGCTCTCCACAAGACCCCCCACAACTAGCATCCCTGGCCAGAGGTCTCACACCCCCAACGCAGGCAGGCGCCGTGCACCTTCCCCTGGCCACGCACCACCCCAGAGCTCTGTTATTTACTTCTCCCAGCTTCCTCCTCTTAGCAGGTCATGAGAAACAGCCAGAGCTCAGCTCCATGCAAGGACACCGTGGCCATGATCTTCTCCTCCACCTTTCCACCCTCCCCACGTCCTCCAGACACTGCACGGCGCCTGCGGGACCCCGGTGCCCCTGGGGACCCCCATGAGCCCAGTGCTGGCTGCTGACCTTTCTGAGAACACACGCAGGGAAAGAGCCCTGCTGAAGGGTTAAACATTACCCGGCTGAAACTCAAGGCCTGACGATTGGTTCCAGTCCACTGGCTGGGATGGTGATTTTTCACAAGGTAAATACAGGCAGTCGCTACAGACCCTTTGTAGCAGGGTTTCCCCTAAGTGGCTTCACTTCCCCTCACCACCACCGTTCCCCTTTGCCCATCCCTGCTCAGTAGACCACACTTGGAGTTCCAAGGGGAACCCCAGCGCTGCCAGGACAATCCCTTACAGCCCAGTCTTTCATCTCATGGGCTGCAGTGCTTAGAACCAGCACTGAGCCCACTGCTGGGACTCACACCCCAGTACCGATTGCAGTGCCCGGCCAGACAGAGGGATCCCACAGCTCCGCACCCCAGTACTCACTGCTCTTGGATGCCTTGATCTTGGCCACCAGTTTCTGCACACCAGGAATGTCCCCGTTCTTCACGGCCTGGATCAGCTCCTGCTCTCGCCCCATCGCAGACAAGTGGGAGTGGTGGTGGTGTGGAAGGCAGGCACCCTCTGATCCTGGCAGTTTATAAAGCCATGAGAATAAGCCCCTAATTCCTCAAAACACACTTTGATGGGAGATGAAATCCAGAAGAAAGATGCTTTACAATCCCATGGGACATAAAAACCAGAAGGAAGAAGTCTTTCTGTTAAGGGCAGGAGCCCTTTTCTGTGTCGGGAGGAGCAGGACCCGGATGGGGTTTGCTTGGAGAACATGCGATCAATTAAAACAAGAGACAGTTCAGTGCTCAGGGATGGGCTCCACGGGACAAAGCCAGGCTGCTCAGCGCAGCACGGCCACTGCAGTCAGCATCAGGATCCCTTTGGCCTCTCGCAGCACTCCCGGAGCTGGAGGTGTCGTGCTTTGCTCCCCTCGCCAGGCTCTGCTGCGCTGATGAGTCCCTAATTCTTCCCAAAGGGATTACGGGCTCGTTGCCATCTGGAAGTTATAGATCCTCCCTCTCTGCTGCTCATTAGCCCCTTCGTTTCGGCATTCCTCTTGGCGTCGGCGCTGCAGCCACGCTGGGGAGTCCCATGCACGGCCGAGCCCCGGCGCGGCAGCCCCGGGACCTGCGGAGGGGAAGAGCAGAGTCAGCCCTCAAAGGACGTTTACCTCTTGGCTCTGTCGCGACAGCCTTTGTATCCACACCGAAGAACGAATGCTTTGACTATATTTAGTGCTGGCTTGACTTGGCTCATCCCTGTTAAACAGAAAGGGAAGAACCTGCGAGGAGAGCTCCTGAGGGTGCTGCTAGGGGTGGCCGGGGGCACAGCTCCTTCCCCATCCCCTGGGGTGACATGAGACATCCCCTCCCTAAGGGCAGCACATGGGCCTTGGGGCACCATGGCATCCCCTCCTCTCCTTCCCCAGTGGCAGCACCCAAGGGATGGAGCTGGGGAGGTTTAGCCAAAGTCCCCTGCAGGCCATGGGAGCAGGTCAGCCAGCCTGGCGCTATTCCCATCCCATGCAGGGATAAACCCTCACCCTCTCGGAGCCATGAAGCTCAGTGCCTTGGGACCCAACACACTCTAACCAGTCCATGAGGAGGCCCATGTGAGGAGCTGGGTGTAATTCAGCAGCACAACCACGCTCAGGTGAACGGGATCAAGCCCACATCCCTGCGAACTGGAGCACCAGGGAGGGCACAGAAGCAGCTCACACCTCTCAGTGTGCTGCACTCGGGCTGCCCAGACTGGATAGTGAGAAAACCCCTCCTGGTTGAGGGCCATGGGTCTGGCAGGCTGCTCCAGCGCCCGGGAAGAGCGTGCGTGCAGGAGGGCAGGGAGCGCTTGCTGTGCCAGCCGCATGGCTGGCGCCAGATCACCCTGCAACCCCCCTGCGCCGATCCGCACCAGATCAGAACTGGCTCTGGCACCCCCAGCCATGGCTCCGGAATGCTGAACCCCTTCCCAGAGCGCTCCCCCTCAGCCGTTTATATAATAGCGAGTGTCGCTTCTCCCAGCAATCCAGGTCACTGTTTTGAGGATGGAAACCACGGGGGAGAGAAGGGAACGGTGGGAACAGAGCTCCTGCCTGGGTCGGGAGAGGCAAAACCAGAAGGGGTGTCCCACGGCACAGCGCTGCTCAGCCCACCCACGGTAAAGCTGGAAGCTGCCCATGAGCACAGACCCCCCACACGCTCCCCGTGCTCCAGCCTCCCCCCCCCGGGGTGCAGCAGTGTAGGGAGAGGGGAGATCCTCCAGTGTTGGCTTAGCCTCTGGGACAAGGGGATGCTGACCAACACCAGACTGGGGGGTTTCCCCTCCCCATCATCGCTCCCCTCAATGAGCACCTTGGCACTGGGGCTGTTTGGGGGCACTGAGGTCAGTTGCCACCTCCCCACATCCTGGGGCACCCACACCACCTTATCTACATTACAACGAAGTTTCAAGCACTTGACTCGGACCAAACCTCTTCCAGCAAACAAATCCCCTCCTGAAACCTCCTGCTCTGCTTCTCACCGTCCTCCAAACTACTCCATTTAACCCTGTGCACTGCAGCCAACTCTGTGCTGCTCTTCAAAAGCACTCGCAGAAAGCGTGTGTGAGGGCGCTGAGCCCATTCACTCCTTCATTAAACAAGCCTGCACGGCCTCACTTAGAAAACAGCCCCGTGCTGGTGCCTGCCTCCCCCGGAGCACACGAGGCTCCGTGGGTACCGAGAGCTCCGAATACCGACCTCTACCTCTTCAGCCTCTCGAGAGAGGAGCAGGAGCGAAGGTAAAACGAGAGACAGACACAAAGCTGGAAAAGCAACAGCAAAACATCCCTCCCACCCGAGCAGAGCTGAGCCTCCAGCCCAGGAATCCACCTGGAGAACCAAAGTATCCCAAACATTCCCGCAGCCAACGGCAGAGGCAGGGAAAAAGGAGGGAGAGGAGGAAAAGAAACAACAACAAAAACAAACTAATTACGTAAATGGAGAAGGAAAGATGTAAACGAGCAGCAAGCACCGACACCGGGTCCCGAAGGGAAAGGGGGGGGCGGAATCTCGCCTCCCTTGGGAGGACCAGGGGAGTCCGGTACCGGCAACGCGAGGGGCACCGGCCGCATCCCCCACACCGGGACCTCCGAGGGCCGGGCTGAGCCCATCCCTACTTTAGGGGGGGATCGGAGGGGGGGGGATTGAGGGGGAGATTTTCGCCCCCCCACCGAACCGAGTCGCTCCACGGCTCCTGCGAGCGGCCCGAGCCGAGCGGGCTCCGCAGCCACGGCCGCACTCACCTGGTGCCGCTCCCAGCCGCGCCGCGCCGCACCGGAGCGAACCGAACCGAACCGAGCTAAACCGCACCTCGCGGGACGGCTCCGCACCAAGCCGCAAGACCTGAACCCGAGCCGAGCGCAGCACGAACTTGCCGGACCGGGGCCGGACCGGGACCAGAGCGGAGCGAGCGGCGCGGTCCCGGCTGCCCGGCTCGCAGCGCGGCGCTCGGCAAAGTCCCGCTCGGGCTGGCCCCGTCCCGGCAGGAAATCCCTCCCCGGCCCGGCCTGATTGGAAAAGCCCGGCGGGTTGTGCGGGCTGGGCAGGGCCGGGGCTGCTGTCACTCACCGTGATGCGCCGGCTGAATGGGGCAGGGCCGCGGCCGCCCGCCGCTCCGGCACCGCTCCCGACCCGCCGCGGGGGTGCCCCGGGGCTCCCGGGCAAGCGGCTCGCTCTGAATGGGCCCGGCTTGGAGGCACGACGCGGACCGGGACCGGCTCCGGGGGGGGGGGTGGTTCCGCATCCTCGACCCGGAGCTCCAGGACCGGCCCTGGGGGGGATCCCCCGCCTTCATCCCCAGTCCAACCCAGGCAACGCTTTACCCCCTCCATTACCAACCACACTGGTAGAGGGTCGGCCCAAAGTTGCTGATGGCACCCACTGGATCAACATCCACCTATTCCCAGCTGCCCAAACCCCAAGTTAATCCCACTCTCACAAAGCACTAAAACCACCCTTTTCTGCCAGTCCGCAATGGTAACACCGGAGCTGAGGGCTCCCCTGAGCAGTTCTCTTAAAACAAGAGATTGCTTAATAAAGCTGGACAGCTTTTGCTGTACGATAGCACTGGATTATCACCAACTAATCAGATTAAAAACACACGGAGGCTTTGATTTTATTCACTAAGTGCCCAGCCCTCAGCTCCCTGGGGGAGATGCAGAGATCCCCCACCTCTTTGAACCAGGCCCGGAGACATTACCCCAAATGATAGTTTCATGAGCAACCCCAATAAGGGGGATTCTCAGCAAGGAGGAGGAACTGACGTTCCCAGACACACCCTGTCTTTTCAGTTCGGGGAATAAAGGGATTATTATGCACATCTAATTATAAATGTCAACATTTTACAGCTGCGATGCTGAAGCACGAAGCTCTAAGTAGCCCTGCTAGGAAGGGCTGTGGAGTGAAAGATCTTGTTATTCCTCCTGTGAGTTTTGCCAGAGCTTGTAAAGCCCAGTGACATTTATGATAATCCCCCGAATTTATGTAGCACCTTTTGTCCTTTTAAGGATCTTAATTAAGCATTAAGCTTTGCAGCTCCCTGAGCACAGGCTAAACTCACCTTGCGAAAGAGGAGTCTGAGCCCTTCTTTCGATGTGTGTCCTGCTTCAAGCAGGAGCAGGACTTTTCCTCCCCAGTGACCTCCGGCAGCATGCAGCAAGCAGGTCCCGCATCGATACTCCCACCCAAAGGTTATGCTGCTTCAGTTACACTAAATCTGGCTAGTTAAGCTTTAATCTCTGCTGCCACACAAGCCCTTTGAACTGAGGGTGCCGCTGGAGGGTTCACCCCAATTTACTAGAAAGCCACAGTTTTTAGCCCAGCCTTTGAGCATCAAACCACAAATCAGTGCTCCTGACTGCACAGCAAAGCCCAACGCCTTCCCTTTACAGCCCTACCCACAGGCAGGCAGCAGAGCAGGGATGAGCCCTCATTTCCTATCACCTTACAGGTTTCCATCGATCTCTGATGTGGGATGACCCCAGCACAAAGACCCACCAGCCATGTCCACCTTGCAGAGCCAACAGACCCACTGTGGCACCTATTCCCCTGTGCCCACAGGGCAGGTGCTGAGAGTATCTGAGAGCATCAATTGAATTTCCACTGCAGATAAACCCTTTCAGCATCCTGCTGTCCCTGTACTGGGGTGAGGCGTTTGCAGTCTAGGGGGATTTCGGGATGCTGGCACCCTTGGGTGGCCGGCCCTGTCCTTCACCTCTACATTAAGGTGTCCAAAGCAGCATCAATTCCTGTTCCCCACATCGGCCCGGCGGGGCCCCTGCTCCTGCTCCCAGCTCTTCAGGTCGATGTTGCCATCTAGAGGCCCCAGCTACAACGATCGTCTCCTTGCCAAGTCCCGGGAAGTTCCGTTGGGGTTTGTGTCTTTAATTCAGTGCCCCATTTCAAAGCAGCGTTTTAGGCTTAGGGGCTGAGCGGGAGGAGCAGATGAGTTGTTCCTACAGGTGATGTGGGTTTGACTCAAAAAATCACTGCCAGCTCTCCCCAGCCCCTGTTGCATGGCTTCTTGATGACTGCACCTCATCCTGGCTCATGCAGCTGTGCAAACCTCTCCTCTTTACTCTGAGATTAGTTTGTGGATGGGGTAGAAAACCCAAAGGGATGTATTCTTCACTGTGAGGGTACTGGGACACCGGAGCAGGTTACCCAGGGAAGCACCCCATTCCTGGCAGCATTCAAGGCCAGGTTGGACACAGGGGCTTGGAGCAAGCTGCTCTAGTGGAAGGTGTCCCTGCCCGTGGCATAGGGTTGGAACTGGATGAGCTTTAAGGTCCCTTCAACCCAAACCATTCTGTGATGCTTCGATTGTGTGATTCTATGATTTGCTGCCAGGAAGGGACCAGCCCCACTGGCAGGAGCAATGCACACAGCTCCGCTGCCAGCACTGGCTCCTATCCGAGGGCACCAGACTCCTACTCCCAAGTATCACTCATAAAAACCCAACTTAGCAAGTCATGACCATCACATCCCCACTAAGTGGATAGGGAGTTTGCAAAGGCCCATACCAGACATTCAAAACATCTAAAGCATGCTATGAACCAGCTGGGTGGACATACACTTATCCCACCTCAGCTGTGGCTCAGGCTCCTCCCTTCACTGCTGTTTAAAACCTCAAGGAACAAGACCACCTCAAACCAAAGCTCCCTGTGGCACC